GTAGGTTTTTAGAACTGTTTGTAAATAAATGAATGATCACATGTGAATAACAGTTGATGTTTAGAATAATTTCTGTATGTGCATGGTTCCTGCAAGTCCTGGTTCTGATCTRGTTTCTGTGAGACAATGATTTTGATCCTGAGAGAATCCCAGTTAAAGGAAGAACATTACTAAATACAGATAGCATAAGAAAACTGATATAAATAAAATAAAATGCCAAATTTTTTCTCAGTGATAATCTGCAGTGGCTGAGAAAGCCGCAAGAGCAGCATCAGAGCACAATCTGTGTGCTTTAATCTAACTGGACCCAACCAAGGCAAACAYTTTGTTCCAAAATCCTGACTTCAGGATTCTGTTTGGAGATTCTTCAAGTCCTTATGAATTCCAATTTTCCTCTTGGACAGCAGGTGGGGATATTGCCAAGTAGCAAAATCCTAGTAGAGCTTTCCAGTCTCATTCCCTTAGGGAACACTTCAGAATAAGAAATACAGGGAAGATCTTAAAGATGAATTTTGAAAATGGTTTTGCAGTGTTTTTCACACCAAGCTAGCTAGCTTGAAAAGCCTTTGCTATTAACCATAGATCCTAGATCCACAAAACTATTTCATTACAGGGCCTGCTCTCTGGCTTCTCTGGGGTTCATGGATCTTCCCTTAAATCCACTTCTGCCTTTGTCCGACTTCTTTAATGTTAAATTAACATTGGCAAACTGTGTTTTTGTAAACAGAGGGGTTGARCAGCCCTTGCTAGAGTTTCCCAGGGCCTTGGCCTCCCCATAGCCTCAGTTTATCTGGAAAAAGCGCTGAAAGTCACCAGAGTCTGACCATGAGAGGTTTTGGGTTTTGTCAGGAAAGGCAAAACCATGTTCTTCAAATATCTGATGAACAAATAGCCCTCCTCTCTAAAGCAAATGTCCAATCACCCCACAGTTGTTCATGCTTACTTTGTTGGCCATCATGATGTTCACCAGCCGTGTCGTTGGGGGAAGGAGAGATTCAGCCTCCTTGCTGGACAACTCTTTCAGGGATTGGACATTTASAGTTAACAGTTCATCCCTTGGGCTCAGGCAACCATCCCTGAAAGAAAAAAGSAAATGTTTGCATATGATTTCACAAAGAATAGCATGGCCCTATCCCATGTGCTGCATTGTCTCCTCACTATTGGAGGAATTGGAATTCTCCCATTGCCTTGAGCTGGGCTGCCATGAGATGCCTGGGTGTGTGATATACCCCATCCCCACTAGGATTTTTTTCTGTTGCTGTTCTCTCCTGCTCAGTCCTGGTGGCCACTGGCTGCCTTTCCATGTACAGCTAGCATCTAGGCAAGATATTCTTGYTTACATTGCTTTCCAGTGCCATCCTAAACTTCCCTTTCACAGGACATCACCATTTGAAAACCTGCTGTTATGTACACTCTCTCATGCTTGCAGGTTTTATTTCTTAGTGTAACTGAGCAGCATTAGATCCCTGTTTTGTTTTTTTAGAATCTTKACCTATGTCTCCAGCTGGAAGCAATGTAAGAAACGATTCCCAGACATCACYTCTTTTCTCTGGAACTGAGCTTCATCCTACACTTTCTCACACAAAGCTGGTCGTGCAAAATCTGTGCAAACAAATGGCTCCCTAATAATTTGCTAACTCCACGTGTACCGTACCTGTTTGCTGGGCCTTCAGCAGGCACGGGGCTGCCTGTGAACCCTTTCCAGAAAGATCCACATCTCGGASTCCTAGAGAGCTTGAATGCTGAGCTGCTGTTCCCTGATGGTGCACACAGCCTGCAGATGCAGCTGTCCTGATTCAGAAGAGGAAAGCTTGCATGAGCAAAAATATATTAAGGCTGTTAAAAGGTATTTGCAKTTATCCTGAGCCTTTTAAGAAATGTAGAAAATGGTTTTGTTCTTAGAACCAGGTTGCCTCCAAGGAGAACTCGAGCAGGCCTTTAACACAGTGCATTTGAGAAAGAACAATGGTATTACAGAGTCAGTGTTTTTAAATAGTTGTTTTCCTTAGGAATTCAGTGGCTTCTGGCTACAAGAGGGAAGAATTACAAWATAGTGTCCCTTTGCATGACAGGAAGAGAACAGATACAGACTTTTCATAATAACTGGGTAAACTTTGCCTGTGCTAACTATTGTAAGAAAAGACAGGGAGGAAAATAAACACATGCCAGAAAATTAAATGCTCTGGAAAACAGAAGAGGTCTGAATGGAAAATAAGTGTATACAAAACACTAGAAGCTCCTCCCCTGCTGCTGACTTGTTAAGTGGGGGCAGGGGACCAGAGAGGTCTGCAGCAGTGGAAAATTCATCCACTCCAGACTGGCTGAAATTGCTGTAGTCTGCRTTGCATCTGGAGGACTAATTGTAAGCATGTCTTTAATGCAGTTATGAGCTGTTAACATAGGGCCGTGCAGAAGGAGAAATAGTGTTTTGAGACATAGAAGGAAAGCAAAGAATGGAGCAACTACGCACATGAAGCACTAGAAGTTTGGCTAGGAAATACACTCCTGCAGCACAAATGCATGAACACCTGAAAATTCTAAAGAGATGAGGAATGCTGGAAAGTTAGCACAGGATTTCTTTTCTATTTGCTTAGTATTTCTCCTGATTCAGAATTCACTCATTCTGCTCCCAACTGAACCCACCTCCTCTGCCCTCGCCAGCCTCTCCATACTCCACAAAGTGAAGAGGGCTCTCAGGATATCCTGGATCCAGGCTTGTTCCCAAGAGATTTGTATGACTGAGGTATAGATTTCTGAAGGGGAGGCAAATTTCATATGTTAGGACAGGCCACAACATATAACAGTGGTCAACTGTCTGTATTGCTCCCAGGGCCCCTGGTCAAAGTGGCATCAACTATTTCCAGTATCTACAGTCCTCTGAGAGCACAAGGAAAGCTGTGTAGCCACTTCCACCATCAGCAGGGCTTCATTTCTGCCCTAGGCAGAGTTCATCCAGCCCTGAGGATGAGAATCATTATGTTCCTTCACCACAAATCAATAGGGATCACCTCCTACCTGACTGACAGCAAACACAAACTGCAAATTTACAGCAATGTCAATAAAAGGTCATTATCTCTCAGGCTGACTGCCCAAGCCTGGCTCCCACACTGAAAGCTGCTGGAGTAAATCTAAGGCTGTGAATGAATGAATGAAATATTTAACTTGGAGCCCTGCAGGCTGAATCCAGTAGGTAATGGATAAGGGCTACACTTGTATTGACTGACTCGTTAACTCCKTGGGTTTGCTTACATTCCAGATTGTCTGCCTTTAATGAGGACTGTCTGAAYTCTACGAAGCTTCTTTTGTTCATGAAGAGTGCTTCTAGTGAGTAATATGTTGGTAAGGATATAAGCATGGACAGAATCCTATCTTAAACCAGTTTGCTTGAACTCTAATATTAGTTTTGGAGCTTTTATATTTACTTTTCACCCAAGATAAATATCTTGGGAAATGCTTACTTGAAATCAGGATTACATTAGGTCCTTTTTCTTTTCCTTATGGCAGTGCTTTGAAATCTTAGGCATAGTAACAAAATAAAGACTGACATTCTGATGCCTTAAAATCTGAGATCCTGAGTAGCAAAAATATGAGTTTCCTTTTCTGTTTGTTTGCATTGATTACAAAATTAAAGGTCAGATTTTGCATATGTGAAGTATCCATTAAAACTCAGAGGGTTTTCAGTGAGGTAGTGTGCTTGTTTTAAAACATGAGAAATGTAAGATGATAGATATTAAAGGTAGGAAATTATTCTGCSATTTGGCTCAGTATTTTTGAGATGTCATGTGCTTGTTGATTGGRGCTGTTGTGAAAGAATAATGGTATTCAGAACTCAGTGTTTAAAAAAGTMATTTCCTTTCTTTTTCCTGCAGTCAGAATTCAAGTTTGGGCTTGCCAACTTCTCTTCTTAGGAGTCACTACTCTTGTAAAAAGTTCCTTGAAAGATGCACGGATCCTCTCACAGGTACCTGTCAGACAAACATGCACACAACTTTGCACTGCTGTTCTCCACACTTCATTTTCTCCTTGATTTTCATAGGCCTGCTCAGACTGTCCCCAACTCATCTCTGTTAAAAGCAGAGTGATGCTTATGCCTTCYCTATAACTTGTTCACAGTATAGAGATAATGTGTTCACCACATTTATAATTATCCTTTGAATTAATTGTCCAAATTTCACAGGACATGACAGAGCTCAGAGSGTTTGGCTCTGAGGTTTTTCACTGCAGCACCATGTGAGTCCTTYGGGGAAAGCACAGGATTTGTACAACAGGACACATGCCAGGCTGGAAATTCTGCTTCTATTAGGACATAAATGTGAAATGTCACCAAAACAAAACTAATGKGAAGATTTTTCCAAGAACAGTAAGTTGCATGCACTTAGTCATTAGGAAAGCAGAGGTTAAATCCCTTGCACACTGCAGAAAAATCTTGGGAACAATTTTTGTTTACATATGTAGTCATCTTACCAAGATGGGCTATATTTCAAATTAGCTCTGTGTCTCAATCATTGCTGCAATTCATTTAGGTGAATTACTTAAAACAAACCAGCTACAAAATAAAGTTTTTGTTGGGCCATGGACATGTGGCAAATGTCTGTATGTTSTCAACATCTGTATTTTTTGGGTCCTGGATATAGATAATTATATTCATATCCAAGTTATTGCAACATGMCAGAAAATTAATAAAAGCTGTTCTTCAGAAAAATAAACGTTTGACCAATTCTTGTGCCAGCAGTCAATTTGCTTTGGGTTTAGTTCTTTAATATCTTTTTTCCTGTCTCTCTGATTGTTTTATGTGTAGAAAAAATGCTGATGGTTCCAAGACTAATGACAGTATTTATTTTTGCATCCTTCTTCTTTTTAAAGGGTTGTCCTTKTTTTGAAAGGTGATTTATAGGTTTAAACATAGTGAGTATTGAGAATTTGGTAAAAGAAGGTTGGCAGGTTTGGTGTGGGGGCAGGTGAATTCTAGGTCAACCTTGTCTCTTCATTATTAGWCATATATTTAAACATGTATTTGCTGCCAATGAATAAACTCTCTGCTTTTTCTTTCAGCACTTCAAGGTTCTGGGGAAATTTTTATCTGCGTTATCATATCCACTCAAAGCAAAATTTGTATTTAAACTGAGTCTGCTTGGCTGAAAGATAAAAATTGAAGGAGTTTAAGAGCCTTCTTGAATGCTTCTTTTTTTTTCCACAGGTGAGAGAAAATTAAATTTTCTTGTGTTTAGTTCTGGAAAAGTAATTTGCACATCCAGGCCAACTCTTGCTTCCTGTTCCCCTTTTTTGTCATCCAAAATGCAGAGCTTCTGAGGATGTTTATTATCTGCCATTTAAAAGATTTCTTTTTCTCTGTGCTTTCATTAGCCATTTCTAGCCCARAGTCCCATCTCAAAACATCTAATTCCAGATGTTGTTTAGAAATAAGGGTAACCATGGCATCTGTGGAAAACTGAAAAACTTTTGTGCACTTTCAAAGCAAGACACAGTAGTTAGATTGTCTGAATTGAAATGTTATACAAGGCTAGTTCAAGTAAGGTCTTGGACTCAGTTAACCAAGTGCATGACAATGAGCTAATTGACTGCTGGTCTAAAAAAATTTTAAAAATAAAACAAAAAAAAAAAATCTAACAGCAGTACAATAATATATTTAAATATTTAGCTTTTCTGGTCTTTTGACTGTGAAATGGTTGGGATTTCCAAGAGAATACATTTTGGGGGGATTTTCTTAAGAAAAATGAAATGGCTGGGATTTCCAAGAGAATACATTTTGGGGGGATTTTCTTCAAGAAGCCTTGTTTTTCTGCATCAGTCTAAAATAGAGAGGGCCAGAGTCTCTCTGGCATAAACTCACTCCACTGGTTCTGACRTACCCTAGCCCAGTGCCTTGGTCTTTTCAAAATATTTACAGTAGATATAATTGATTTTCCCAGCAGCATATTCCCTTTGAAACCAGTGAAATGGCAGAAGCTGGAAAGCGAGGATGATGCAAGGAGCAGGGCAGGGGATCAAGGTTTGCCCTGGACAGACAATTCAGCACATCAGATGTGACACAAGAGCCTTTCYAGCCATCATCTGCCCTTTGGAATGTTTTCCTGGGAGCTTTTCCTGGCCTGCATTTTGCAGCACACACTGTAAGAATGGAAAGCCCCTTTCCCTGACCTGCCTGTTGTGCAGCAAAAGCAAGAAGGCTGGGAAAACAGAAAGAGAGAAGTGTGAAAACTGAGGAGAACACATAAATATCTAAATAAAATGCAGCCTCCTCTCTTGGCTTTGTTTTTCCATCCTGCCCATGGGCTTGTGTTTGAGACATTACAGTCTGTTGCCATAGCACTTGTCCTGGTACCAAAGGGCCAGCTAACTGGTGTTTGCATGAAGACAAGTTATAAAATTGTATTCTGGTGATGACCAAAGCAGAAAAATTACTTTTTTGCTTTTTCTCTCCTTCAAGCAGAGGGTCAGGGACCAAAGGAAGCAAGGGTGCAGAAGTTGCTAGAACCAAGCGGAGCCATGCAGTCAGGTCAACTCAGATCCCATGTTTAGTTCATCAAATGTCAGCCCTTTTTCATTCTAGTTTATTCTAGATGCTGCTTCAACCCTGCTCCCAGACCCACAGGTAGCTCTCAGTGCTTCCCAGAGTGTTGGGGGTGCAGGGAAGAGGCAATGGAATGCTTGTTGAAATAGTAGAATTGCTTCTTGAAGCAGCTCTCATGCTCAGCAGACTGCTGCTCCCTGAAGA